CCCGGTTTTGGTTCCAAATTGGCAACCCAAGTGGCAATCTCCTGACTAATCTGTCCTTCACTAAACCATTTCTGTCCCCAAATTTTGACTTTATCAAAATGGTCAATGGTGGGGTCCTGGTTAAGCTTAGTATAATGGATATCATTGTTAAGCTGCCTTAACATCTTATCATGGTACTCATTTTGGGAAATAATAACAAGTCTAGATCCCTTATCTTGAATTCTAAATACATTGTCACTAACTTTAAGTTTACGTTGTTTAAGAAAAGTTAAACCTCGGAGAAACTCGACTTTGGAGGCGTCCAATCACTTGTGGATGGAATTGTTGGGAAACGGTTATCAGCTGGGTGATCGTTATCGTCTGGGTTTCTGTCGTGATGGAATACAGCAAGTCGAATTCGTCTGTCAAATTTATCGAAGTCATCAATGGTTTTCCGCCAGTTGACATCCTTTGGTGTCGGGTAAAATGCTAGACCTTTCATCAAAAGGGAACATTCCGCATCCGAGAGATCACAAGATGTTAAATTGATAGGGTGTAGATCTGAAATTTTCTCAACGTTTCCTTGCGGTGAACTGGCTTGATGATTAGAGTGTGATGCAGTTCTAAGTGGCCCATTTCTGGTAAAACGCCGTCTTTTAGTTCTCGATTCTTCGTGTCGAGGGATGTGGCAAGTTGCTTGTTGCACTGGATTTTAAGGTGTGGCCACTGTAAATTTGCGACGGGCAATACGCAACAAGTCAAATTCTAATCGCTTCATTTGTCTGCAAGAAGCAGACATTGTATTCTGCGAGAAGTGTGCAAACAAAGGCAATTGAACTCCGAACGCGAAAAACTTCTCGAAAACTACGATGAATGTACAGCAAAAACTGTCTGGAGAGGAACTCAAATAATTCGAATTCGACTTGCTGTATTCCATCACGACAGAAACCCAGACGATAACGATCACCCAGCTGATAACCGTTTCCCAACAATTCCATCCACAAGGGATTGGATGCCTCCAAAGTCGAGTTTCCCCGAGGTTGAACTTTTCTTAAACAACGTTAAGAAGGACATTCTCGAACCTAAGAACTTGAGAAAAGCCAAGGACAACCTGATGAGGGAGGAGAGATCAGCCCTAGGTAAACTTAAAGCTAGTGACAATGTATTTAGAATTCAAGATAAGGGATCTAGACTTGTTATTATTTCCCAAAATGAGTACCAAGATAAGATGTTAAGGCAGCTTAACAATGATATCCATTATACTAAGCTTAGCCAGGACCCCACCATTGACCATTTTGATAAAGTCAAAATTTGGGGACAGAAATGGTTTAGTGAAGGACAGATTAGTCAGGAGATTGCCACTTGGGTTGCCAATTTGGAACCAAAACCAGGGGTGGCTTTTGGCAATGTGAAGACTCACAAAGAGGGCAACCCTCTCCGCCTAATTACATCTTGCTGAC